ATGCTTGTAAAAACAATTGCATCATGTTTTATAAGGAAACTGTTGAATTGGAGTATTGTATGATATGTGGTCATCCTCGATATAAATCAATGAAATCAAGTGTCAAAAAGCATAAGAAAATTCCTCTTAAGATTTTGTGTTACTTGCCACTTATACCAAGGCTTTAAAGGCTTTATATGTTGGGAAAAATTACAAAACATATGACGTGACATGCGCAGAACCAAAGTGATGATGGAGTTCTTAGACACCCTGTTGATGGTGAGGCTTGGCAACACTTCAACCGCACACATGAGTTATTTGCAATGGAAGCTCGAAATGTCAGACTAGGATTATGTACTGATGGTTTCAATCCTTTCGGACAGACTACAATACCTTATTCTGTTTGGCCAGTAATGCTCATTGTGTACAATTTATCCTCATGGATGTGTATGAAAAAACCATATATATTTCTTAATATGGTTATTTCGGGGAAGAAAAGTCCAAGCTAAAACATAGATGTCTTCTTGAGACCTTTGATAGATGAGTTGAAAGTATTGTGGATCGAGGGTGTTATCACATATGATGCCTATAGGAAACAAAATTTCAATCTAAGGGCAACATTGTTGTGGATAATTAATGATTTTCCTGCTTATGGCATGTTGTCAGGATGGAGCACTCATGGACGATTATCATGTCCTTATTGCATGGAACGCTCTAAGGCTTTCATTTTAGATCATGGTAAGAAACCTTGTTTTTTTTATTGTCATCAACAATTTTTGCCACTTAATCATCCTTTTAGGCGGCAGAGAGATAAATTTATTAAAAAAAGAGTTGAGCGTGACTTCTCAATTCCTCATTTATCAGGTGAAGAAATATTGTCACGCTTGAATTTGCTTCCTAATATCCCCTTTGGAACAAAATGTGGTGAAGAAAAGATTCCGAGTTATGGTGTAACTCATAATTGGGTGAAAAAGAGTATATTCTGGGAATTACCTTATTGGCATACGCTTCTTATTCGTCACAATCTAGATGTGATGCATATTGAACGTAATGTTTTTGAGAATATATTCAACACGATGATGGATGTTAAGGGGAAGACGAAAGACAACTTAAAGGCACGACAAAATTTGAATATGTACTGCAAGCGTCCAGAATTGGAACTAGTGGAACATAATGGAAAAATTTTGAAGCCAAAGGCTTCGTACAGTTTAAGTAAGGAGGAAAGAAAAATTGTTTGTGCTTGGGTGAAACAATTGAGATTACCTGATAGTTTTGCATCGAACATATCTCATTGTGTTAATGAGATCGATTGCAAATTTTATGGGATGAAAAGTCATGATTGTCATGTTTTTTTTCAACGATTGCTACCAATTGTCTTTCGTGATATGGCACCTCACTCAGTTTGGGATGCGATTATTGAGATATCTCATTTTTTTATAGATTTATGCTCAATTGAAATACATGTACATCACATGAAATCTTTGGATGTGAAAATATGTGAAACTATATGCAAACTAGAAAAGATCTTTCTTCCTGGTTTCTTTGACTCTATGGAGCATTTACCAATTCATTCACCTAATGAGGTAGAAGTTGGTGGACTCGCCCATTATCGATGGATGTATCCATTTGAAAGGTATTATATCTGTTATTTATTTTCTAACAGTTTATTAGAAGATTTTTAGCCACTTATTAAGTATAATGAATATTATCATGTTTAGGTTTTTGCATGATTTGAAGAAGAAAGTGAAAAATCAAGCCTTTTTCAAAGGATCTATATGTGAGGCATATATGATCGAGGAAATTTTCTTATTTTGCTCATTGTATTTTGAGCCTGCGGTGCAAACAAGATTAAACCGAGTGCCACATAATGATAATGGGGGAGACATGGACTCTCGTGGTCGTCTTTCGATTTTCACTCATCTTGGCAGAGCATTTGGTCCACTAGATAGATCTCGATTTTTAAATGAGGATGAGTTTTATGCTGCTGAGCTATATGTTTTGATGAATTGCGAAGAAATGCTCCCATACATTAAGTAAGTACTACTCTGCCATAAACTTAAATGATTGATCATACGAATGTTTCATAACTTCGAAAATATGGATGTGATGATAGTATATTTGATGATATGGTGAAAAGAGAGGTGCATATATCTGAAGATGAATTGGAAAATGTTCATGATGAAAGATTCGTGAAATAGTTTAAACAATATGTAAGTTTATGTAATGATGTTGTGATCTTTTAATAACAAATATGCATTAGTTATGTAAGTTAACCATTCTGGATCTTGTATTAAATGTTGGTAAGTTGTGGAACGTAGGGATGAAATTGACCCACGCATACTTGAAATCACTCATGGTCCAGGTCGTATGATAAGGTGTTACAAAAGATACTTCGTAAATGGTTTTAAGTTTCAAACCCTAAACTATGGCCAGAATCGTAAGACAATGAATAGTGGGGTATGCATCAAAGGGAGTTGTTACAATGATTATGAACGTGACTTCTATGGCATTTTGGTCGATATAATCGAGTTGGAGTATTTTGGTTTTGAAAACAAACTTATGCTATTTAAGTGTCATTGGTTTGACACTAAACAAGGTATTAAGGTAGACCCTTGTCATGGTCTTGTTGAAATTAAACACAACTCAATACTTAACAGTAATGAACCATTTGTTTTAGCTGGACAAGCTCAGCAAGTTTATTATAGTAGTTGCCAATCTACCAAAAGAGATCGACGTGATTGGTGGGCAGTATTTAAAACAAAAGCTAAAAGTAGATTTCAGCTTTATAGTACTGGGGATAGAGAAAATGAAACTGATTTAAATGACGAAGTGTATCAAGAAAAAGATGTACCTATTCCAATAAATGTTACTCCCTCGGAAGAACTTGAAAACTCTACAGTTTTAGCAAGTGGTGATTATGAAGAGGTTAATATCTTAATTGAAGATGAAGAAGATGACATGCAAAGAGATGAAGATTCAGAAGATGACATGGAAGGAGATGAAGATGAAGAAGAAAAAGATGAAGACGAAGATGAAGAAACTTTTAGTGAGGATAGTGATAATAATGAGCAACATGAGTTTGCTTTTTCTGAAAGTGATTGATGATGGTAGACATATATAATATAAGATTTGTATCTTTTGTTGCGCAGTTGTTTAACTTAGTTATGACTATTGAAAGATGTTCATAGGTTATACAATTATTATAGTTTATATTATCAATGTGTACATTAATACTTTATAATGGCATCATTTATTATACACATGCGTAGGAATTACTCTCAATTGTTGTAATTTAATGATTTTATAATTTGCTTTACTATTTTTTTTAAATTTTTGAGTTTTAGTTTTAATAATACGAAATTTTTGTAGGGATTATGGTTAAAGGGAAGCATACAAAACCGAGACCTAGAGTGAGAAATGCCTTTGAAATTATGTCGTTGCCTACAAATGCTCCTATGTTTGTTGATGCATTCATGCAACCACACATGCAACAGGTCAATGACGCTCCTATCTACAGAGTAAGTAGATAACGAGACATCTACTCCCAATTCTTCTAGATCCACATCTATTGATATAGATGCAAGTGTTGATGGTACATCTTCAAAGTCGAGGGGTAGAGGGCTTGGTGTGGGATTACAGACTCCTATAGATCCATCAGAAAGATTACGTATAACTCCTATTGGAGATAGATATGTTATATTGTATTATAAAGATTTATTTATATTTGTTATATATTGTATTATGCAATAATTTTTTCTTATTTTGTATAAGTACTTTTTTTGAACGAGGGGTCACAACTACAATAACAAGGATTATAAAAAATCACTTCAACGGTCCATGGACAACGTGGAAGAAAGTTCCTAATGACATAAAGGAGTTGATGTTTAAAAAATTTCAAGTACTACATTTGGTTTTAATTTAAGTTATAACTTTTTTTTCAAGGCATTAAGACAATTTTTTTAGTTACTCTATTATTTTGATGTAGGAAAAAAGTGTTTGGGCTACAAATCAAGATGTTCTGGTTCGACGAATATGGAATAAAATTTGGTCCGATCGATTAAGAGACATGCTTTCAGAAAAGAGGAACAAAGCAATGATAGAAGCCAAAACAAACAACATTAAGGATTGCAAAGGCATGTCAAGAGAATGGATCACAAATGAAATATGGGATGCCCTTATAGATACAGTATGGGGTATAGAAAAATGGCAAAACAAATCGAGAAAAGCAAGGCAAAATCGGTTAACGCCTAAAGAAGGAAGCATTCCAAAGCACACAGGCGGTTCAGTTCCATTTGTTGTTCATGCAAAAAGGATGGTATGAATTAATCTTACTTCGCATTTATATGTATGGTTTTTTTTTCAAACTGAATTTAAATTCTATGTTCAGGTAGTTTGACTATACTTTTTCCTAAAATGTTATTTATATATATGGATTATGATTGACTATATATAGTTGTTAATAAATGTAGGCAATTGAGATGAAAAGAGATTTTAGCTTTTTAGAAGTGTTCAATCGCACCCATAAGCGTTTGGTGGGTCACGATGATTTTATAGATAATAAGTCTAAATCTGCGAGTGTATGTACACATTTGATTAATTTTTACTTCAAAGTTGTTAATATACTTGAATAATAATCTTATTTAATTTTTATGTAGGAAATGTATAATTCTGTATTATCACAGAAGTATGGAGAAGCTTCATTTGCTCAGCCGAAATTCGATCCGCATGCTTGGACTGAAGCAATTGGAGGGATGGAGACTACACGCACTCACGTATATGGGTTTGGTACTTAGGTGCCTGTTACAGTTCTACTTAGTAGAACAGAAAGCAATGCAGCAACATCTGAGTCTACGTGTGGCCCTATCAATGCTAACGTTACCAGTCCCGCAATTGCATTAGAGGAAAAAGTGAAAAATCTATCAGACAACTTAGACAAGATTCGTGAGGAAATACGAGGGGAAATCCATGAAGAAATTAAGAATGCAATGTCGGAAATCATGAGTGAATTTATGGTACGCATGGAAGCAGTGATCGTGACTAATGCGATTTTAAAACAAAGAAATGCGAGAACTTTAAGCTCAAATATTAACAAGTAAGAGTGCAACATCTCATGATATGATGTCTCTTTTCCATTTCTAGACTTGGATACTTTTTAGTATTGGTGTTTAATAATAGTATGGAGTTTATATCAAGTTATGTGTTTGACATTTTGAGATATTGTATATTTATTATAATTTTAAATTGTATGAACTTGACTTTGCATTTTAGCTTTTATTGTGCTTCTATTATATATTTTGAAAGTTAATTGTGGAAGTCAATTGGACATTTATTATCAAAATTTTAATTGTTGAATTTTGTTGAATAAGCCTCACTAATAAAGTAGGTATTACTAACAGAAAATTTCAATTGGAGAAGCATTTCCAACGGAATTCCATTTCAAATTAATTTCCAACGGAAATTAATGCATGAAAGTCATATGTTTATGTATTTTCCAACGGAAATTTTCGTTGGAAAATTATGACGGATTTTCAACGAAAGTATTATGCACGAGGCTTTTACTGATGGATTTTTCAACAAAAATTTTCGTTGAAAATCTGTTGGAACTACTTATTTCCAATGAAAAATTTCGTCGAAAAAAGCTTAATTTTTTGTAATGGGGTTTTACTTGTAGAAATTTAAGGATTTTGAAGAGCATAAGAAGTTAATATGCCTTCGTTACCTTTTGAATTGATTTTGCTTCCCTTGATCCCTTCTCTAACTACATTTAATATCGATTTTTATTATTTTAAACATTAGTGATCGATGTGGTAATCTTAGTTAATATTCCACATTAATTTTTTTGAAATAATTTTCCCTTTTCTTTTCTTTCATTTTCCTCTTTGTTTTTTGTCTTCTTCGAGATTCTTCTCTTTTTTTCGAGGTTATTACACTACTAGACAAAGAAACCTCATCTTGTTTAGAAAATCGCAAGTGTTTGGGTTAGATCGTGAATTGGGGTTCACCATTTTGGAGGCTTATGGGTTTTGAATTGATTGCAGCTGTTTTAAAAAGGAACTTATACTATGTACTAAAGTGAGCTAAAGGC